CCAGTCATGTAGAATCGGTGGTCGGGGCTAAACAGGCAGTGATGTAGAATCGGTGGGCGGGGCTAAACAGGCAGTGATGTAGAATCGGTGGGCGGGGCTAAACAGGCAGTGATGTAGAATCGGTGGGCGGGGCTAAACAGGCAGTGATGTAGAATCGGTGGGCGGGGCTAAACAGGCAGTGATGTAGAATCGGTGGGCGGGGCTAAACAGGCAGTGATGTAGAATCGGTGGGCGGGGCTAAACAGGCAGTGATGTAGAATCGGTGGGCGGGGCTAAACAGGCAGTGATGTAGAATCGGTGGGCGGGGCTAAACAGGCAGTGATGTAGAATCGGTGGGCGGGGCTAAACAGGCAGTGATGTAGAATCGGTGGGCGGGGCTAAACAGGCAGTGATGTAGAATCGGTGGGCGGGGCTAAACAGGCAGTGATGTAGAATCGGTGGGCGGGGCTAAACAGGCAGTGATGTAGAATCGGTGGGCGGGGCTAAACAGGCAGTGATGTAGAATCGGTGGGCGGGGCTAAACAGGCAGTGATGTAGAATCGGTGGGCGGGGCTAAACAGGCAGTGATGTAGAATCGGTGGGCGGGGCTAAACAGGCAGTGATGTAGAATCGGTGGGCGGGGCTAAACAGGCAGTGATGTAGAATCGGTGGGCGGGGCTAAACAGGCAGTGATGTAGAATCGGTGGGCGGGGCTAAACAGGCAGTGATGTAGAATCGGTGGGCGGGGCTAAACAGGCAGTGATGTAGAATCGGTGGGCGGGGCTAAACAGGCAGTGATGTAGAATCGGTGGGCGGGGCTAAACAGGCAGTGATGTAGAATCGGTGGGCGGGGCTAAACAGGCAGTGATGTAGAATCGGTGGGCGGGGCTAAACAGGCAGTGATGTAGAATCGGTGGGCGGGGCTAAACAGGCAGTGATGTAGAATCGGTGGGCGGGGCTAAACAGGCAGTGATGTAGAATCGGTGGGCGGGGCTAAACAGGCAGTGATGTAGAATCGGTGGGCGGGGCTAAACAGGCAGTGATGTAGAATCGGTGGGCGGGGCTAAACAGGCAGTGATGTAGAATCGGTGGGCGGGGCTAAACAGGCAGTGATGTAGAATCGGTGGGCGGGGCTAAACAGGCAGTGATGTAGAATCGGTGGGCGGGGCTAAACAGGCAGTGATGTAGAATCGGTGGGCGGGGCTAAACAGGCAGTGATGTAGAATCGGTGGGCGGGGCTAAACAGGCAGTGATGTAGAATCGGTGGGCGGGGCTAAACAGGCAGTGATGTAGAATCGTTGGGGGGGCTAAACAGGCAGTGATGTAGAAACAGGTGTTGATGATCCTCTGCGGAGGCGGTGCTTATCCACACTATTATGTTATAAAGTGGCACATTCCGCAAGCTGTCGTTTTGGCAGACTACCTTTCAATATGAGCTGTTTTCAGACTAACGAAAAAGTTTTGAGTTCTGAAACTTACAGGATGTTTTTATAGTACAATGACCCCTTCATATGTCAAAAGATCAAGGGAATTTTGGTTTCTAAGTTCATGACCTCTTTAAAGTTTTTTTTTTATGTACCGAATTGTGACTTTATTACAAATATGTAATTATAAATATTCAAATGCATGATAAACAATTGTCAATAGAAATGCAATTAAAGTGTATTTTAGCTTAACCTAAATGCTTGTCAGTACTGTACATTCAGCAGTACATTTAACCATATTTAAAAGACAATTAACATGATTATGACCTGATTATGTAAAAATCTACTTTTTAATAAAGTTTTAAAATAAATTGCATAAACTATAACACATTTTCATTTAACTAAATTGATCATGCAACTAAGTGTCAGAAAACACTACACTGAGTTCACACTAAAGTATGCTAAAGCGCACTTCTTTTTCAGAGCCTTATTAATGAAGTCATTTTTATATAAATTAGAACACAGATTCACCAAATTCTCAGTGACTTCTAAAATGTGAGTTGAATACTGTAATCTGCTGGCATGAGTGTGGGAACTACAGCACCTCTGATACTAAATGAGAATTCCTCCACAGCTCACAGCCAATGCATCATAACACAGTACACAACTATACTATAATTATAAATATTTGCATAATGCAAAACTCCTATAATAGTGTGCATTAAGTTCACCGTACACTAGTGTGTAAATAAACAAATGCATTTTCACAGATTACACTATTAGCACAGGTGTTTTAGCTGCTGTAAAGCATGAATGTGCAGGTACTGGTTAAATCACTTTTAGCAAAGCCGATCAGTGTGAGTGGCTGCTGGATTAGTAACACACACACAGAGAGATAGAGATGTGGACTGGTGTGGATGGCCCCCTTCAAAAACACTGTGATGTTACAGCGAGTGACAGCACACATGTTCAAGTATTCCACTTCAAGACTGCTTAAACATTTAACACACTTCTCAGTTTCAGACACAAACAGCTGGCAGACGATAAGAAGTGATCATTGAGCAGCTCAATCAGAGCGATACTCACCAGTGTGTCACCAGAGAGCACCTCCAGCAGGGAGATCAGGTTATGTCCATCTCGCAAATCCTCATACAGGTCGTTAACATGCTTTCGGACCTGAAACAAAGTGAGAAGAGAAAGAAGAAACACATTATATATAAGAGATATATGAGAATATATGAGAAAATAATCCATCTATCTATCTATCTATCTATCTATCTATCTATCTATCCGTCTGTCTGTCTGTCTGTCTGTCTGTCTGACTGACTGACTGACTCTGTCTGTCTGTCTGTCTCTCTGACTGACTGACTGTCTCTCTGACTGTCTGTCTGTCTCTCTGACTGACTGACTGACTGTCTGTCTGTCTGTCTGTCTGACTGTCTATCTGTCTGTCTGTTTGACTGACTGTCTGTCTGTCTGTCTGTCTGTCTGTCTGTCTGTCTCTCTCTCTGACTGTCTGTCTGTCTCTCTGTCTGTCTGT